AATTTTTTTTTTTTTCTTTTAAAAAAAAAATATAACTTACTATGAAACTATAATTTGATCTCATTCATGCATGAAAAATTTTACGATTAATTAGATCAATATAAAAAAATTTCACTTATCATATTAAATTAATTAGTGTTCATTCGAACTAATAAAATTTTAATTTAGATCGCTAATTTAATTCCAATTTTTTGATTGAAAGATACTTTTTAATTAGAAAAAAAAGGATCTTTTATGCGTTTTTTTTTTTTTTGATAAATAATATTATAAATAATATTATAAATAATATTATAATTATAATAAAAAAATCAATCAAATTAAAACTTCTAAAAAAAACGCAAATTTTTTTTTAAGATTAATTAACAACTTTCAATAAATAATACTTAGTATTAATGGTAAGTAAGCTGCTATATATAACAACAATACAATATACTGTATTATCATTGTTTTAATATTCAATCATCAATCACAATAATTGGGATCTCACTTTTGAATAATTGTTCTACAGTAGTATCATTATTAGAGTCGTTTAAAAGAATTTCATGAATTATTTCATCAAACTTTTCCTAAATATAATTCAACCTTTAATTAATTTAATGATTCAAAATAAAAACTTATGGTGATATCAACAAATCATCACTTGCCAATCGTATTTCGTCAACCCATCCTCCAACCAAGGCACATCGTTCCATATGAGACATTTGAAAAAATTGTATCAAGGTTGTGGCTGTTAAAATTATTTGTGCTGTAAATGGGTTTATAAGAGGACTAAAGCATGATAAAAATCTTTCATGCTGTTAAATCGTTTGGTTAGATCTATAATTACAAAGTTTTGATTATCAAAAAAGGCCATATTTAGTACTCACCAAACTTTCTTCTATGGTCATCCAATTTCTTTCCGCCCATTGCTTATGATCTTTCCATCCATGATTTCCTACTCGAGTCGCCCCTTCTATATCACATTTCGTTGCGCAAGCATCTCCTACCATTCTCAATAATTTAGCAGACATTTCCTCGCATAATGAATACATTATTTTTGCATCACAATTACAACAAGTTAATATCAATTTTAATTCAGAAATTGATCTTAATACAGGTAAAGTGAAAGGATATGAGGTTATAATATATTCCTTGTTACTGCTTGTACACCGATTATTCCATGTATACGTTTCTAGTATTAAATATAAATTTGAGTACTTTAAATGTAGACGGAGTATTGTCTGCACAAGTTTCAATATCGACTGATCCTGAGAAAGCATATTTAGTGGATAAAATATGACTCCTGTTCGCTCATCTATAATGAAATCTACTTCCACATGAATAGTATCGGAATTTTCTTCAGAAAGAAAGGGCTTATATATATAAAAAATTATATTACGACATACGGTATATTATGTAAACCAATTTTTTTATTATTTAAATGCTCACTCTCAAATATTCGAAATCTCTTTCAATAAGCTCAACTTTGCATTCTTCACTTTTCAACGCAGTTAAAAGTTTACGATTTGGAAACATGCGTATCGAAACAATATATTTATGAGGTACAACAGGCGTTGGAAGTTTTTCAATTATGGACTTGCCAATAGTAACTAAATAAAAAGATTCAATAGCGTAAATACATATACTGTATGTGCATAAATGGTCTATGAAGTATATCATAATTACTAAAAGAATTCTTGTTCACAATTGGCACTTTATTCTTCATGACAGAATTCGTACGAGTACTTGAAGGTGAAGCTGCAAGTTAGACCGATCATTCGTTTTATTATTCAAAATGTAAATAACATTTTTTTGTAATTTTATTTATAATTAATATAATTAATATAAGTAATGTATCTTTTTTTATTAATATATATATATATATATATCTTTATTTATTTTTTCATGAATTCGAAATATAATAGTAAGTAAATCATACCGTTACTTTGATTGATCTCTCGTCGTTTATTTGGTGATAATTTTCCTCGTAATACCAAGAAATCATCAATTGATCTTGTTGCTGAAAATGAATTCGAGAAGTACATTGCGTTATTTTGTTCAGCAGAAGATTTAGACTTATTCCTGAAAAATGGAGAAGTTGTCTCATTATCAACAACGGATTTTCCTGTTTCTGGTGTTGACAAGTCCGAATCTTGAGTTAAGTCAATTACTTCAATATTCTCATATTTATTTTTATTTTTTAAATCCTTATTAGGATCATTAAAATCGCAACTTGAAAGCCATTGAGTTACACGATTCTGTGCGGAAACAGTCTCGTTGGCAATTTCTGGTAATGATGCATCGTAATCATTTCCTTCTCGGATCCAGCTCATAACATCAGGCATTGATCTCTCAATATTTCTAAACCTTCCAATAGTAGGTTTACGTAATAATTGTTGAATATCAGTGGATTTATTTTGGTTGGATGATTTTATCTTGCTTGGATTCGTCTGCCTTGTATAAGGGGTATAATTCCGTGTCTACAAAAAGTACAAATAGATCAGTCACTAATGTATTAGCCACTTTGTGAGTGAAAATCACCATAACTTGCCAACGACGAACGATTTTTGAACATATTGGAAGGAGCCACAGCTGCAGATGTAACACGTGAATGACGTGATGCAGTAGAAATCGCTGCACTCTCTTTATTATTATGCACGTAATCACGTTGTGCCACCTCTAATTGTTTTAACCTTTTTTTCTTCTTCTCTTCTTTTTTTGATCTTAAATAAATTTCGTCACTTTTACTAGTAACTTCAATTAAACCTAATAAATTATCCGTATCAAAACAAATGTATTCTTGAGTTATTTCTGCTAAATTATCATATGGAGTTTCTGAAGTATCAACAATTTTATCAATTTCCAATATAGCAACGTTTTTGATTGGATTCCAATGCAATAAAAGTTCCAAAGCTTTTATTCCACTAAAGGGAGAAAATATCTGAAAGTCACTTTTTGATGAATTTGATACCACAAGATCCGAGAGACGTGACGGAATATCTGAACTGGCATATGATACAGGATGTAGCAGTGAAGGTACTATCATAAGTGGTTTATTGTGATTTATGGAAATTTTATAATTAAATTAAATGGAATAATCGTGGTTTATGGAAATTTTTTATAAACTTTTTCTGCGATGTACTGCACGTAAAAGTCACGCGACCGTATTTTAATAAAATCACGTGATTTGACGTATACGCTGTTTTATTACCTGTAAATTTCAATTCACCTATTTCATCCATAGGTTGCGTCATTATAATCTGCCATTGATCAAAGGGCGTATCAATCTTTATTATACTATCAAGATCTTTTTGAAGTTCTTCGTCTTCGTCTTGATTAGATGATATCGGCATTACATTTTCCGGAACAACATGATTAATGACGCTTAATAATGAATCGGTCCTGTTATACAAAGATGTGATGAACAAATTTACAGCAAATGTACAAGTTGAAGTATTATGTAATATTGAATAATATGAATAATGCAACATACGTAATAATATCTTCCTCGGATTCTGATTTTTTCCTAAAACACGAATTTTATATAAACGCAAATTTTGTGTAAAACATAAATTTTTGTAAATTACTCACCGACGCTTTCTTCGATCCATTTCTAAAGGATCATTTTTCGCAGGTATCAATACCGGCTCTAAAAAATTGTGACGTATTATTAATTGCTAAAGTGACGTATTGCTAAAGTGACGTATTGCTAGCTATAGTGACGTATTGTTATAGTGACGTATTGCTATAGGACGTATTGCTATAGTGACGTTTACTAGAGTGACGTTTACTAGAGTGACGTTTACTAGAGTGACGTTTACTAGAGTGACGTACAACTACAGTGACAGTGACGTATACATAATAAACGGTTGCTGCAGTGACGTTTGCTAAAGTGACGTATAACATAATGAGTGACGTTTGCTATAATGACGAAACCATAGTTGCTGCGGCACCCAGGTGATGATCGACACAAACCCTGCCCGAGTGCGTTGCTGCGCTATAATGACGCATTTGTTAACGTGACTAAATGATGTACATTTCCTATTACTAATTGTGACGTAAATACATATCTGGGGCCTGCATTAGGCCCGGGACCGGGTTGCTTATTATGGTCCATGCAGACCTCCAGCTCCAAATACCTAAAAGTGGTAACTTTCCCGTAATACCATTTAAGGGATAGTAGGGATATTCACAGCGCTAGTTAATCTCTATAATTTACCTAATTCGTACCCTTCATGAGGGATGTCGAGAATCATTTCGCTTTCTCTAGAACTTTCAGTCAAAGTTTCTTTCAAATCATCATCCATAGTTTCTGTTAATACATGCAGATTTAAATTGTTAAATTTAAACAGTTTGAAATTTTTGAATAATTTGAATATAGTTCATACCCCATTCATTCATCATTTCTAATGGTAATTTGACACCAGATTCTTCAATAACCGAAAACTTTTCATCATTTTTTAAGATTAATTCAACTTCTTGCTTAAATAAAGATTCAACATTCGAAATTGAATTTGGTATATCTTGTTGAACGATATCTTTTACATTAGGTAGAATAGGTTCTTCAAGGTATTTGCTTTTAAATTTCAAATCATCAATAAGAATTGTATCATTTTTAAGTTCAATTTCTTGTTCTTTTAATAATGATGTAGCAATATCTATTTCATCGGCCATTGCTTCATGATATAATGGACTAAAAATTGGGTTATCGTTAGTAAATTTAAAACAATTTTGTTTAGTTTTTAATAATTATTATAATTAAAATAATTGTTTAGTTTTTAATAAATAATTGTTTGTTATTATAAATTAATAATCATTAAAAAATAATACCATAAATCTTCTATCGTATAAGTTTGTATTTCACTTTCTAAAAAAGGTTCGGGTACAATTTGTGTGGGATTATAGTTAGGAGTTAACGATTTAATAGTAGGAACGGTAGGAACTTCAAGATTATCTAATTTTATTTTCTTTGGAAACAAAGGTTCCTCCAATTCGATTGAATCACGAGTAATATAATTTTCTAAAAGAAAGAAAACATTGTTAACAATCAATAAATTGTAAAATCGATTAAAAAATCAAAATACATAATTACCTAGATTATTACATAAAATAAAATCAGTATCAATATCTTTTACTTCGGATAATTCTTTATTCAATAAATCATTTGAATCATCAAAATCATTAAATTCTTCAAATAAAAATTTTTTAATAATCAAATTATTATAATCTTTATATCCTCTTATATTTTCTTCTTCTTTTTTTATATGAATTATAGATTCATTTTCATCTTCTTGATAATTTTCAATAGGTATTTGATTGATTAATTCTTTAGTAATTTGATTAATTAATTCTTTAGTATAATCTATAAAATAATAAAATATATGTTTAATATTATATTAAAATTTTTATTATTTTTATTATTACTTGTAAAAAATACCATCGTCATTTTGTAAATTTAATGATTTTGCACATTCTAATAATTCGATTCGATATTTATTTTCTTCTCCAATGCCTTTCGTTATGGACATTTTTTTTAATTTATTTATTTATACAAGTTGAAAAGAAAGGCACGAGAAAATAATTAAGATAGTATAATTTAATATAGTATATATTTTTCTATTTTAATATTTTAATAGTTAAAAAAAAGTTTCAACGTATAAGTTAAAACACATGATATCAAGCGTGATCATTTAATATACTAGATATTATACGTTAGATGCATTAGATATACTTAGGATAATTTGTTTATACGAGTCGAAAGTTGAAAAGAAAGGTACGGGACAAATAATTAAGATAGTATAATTTAATATTGTATATATTTCTATTTTAATATTTTTAATACTGTAGTTAAAAAAAAAGTTTCAACATATAAGTTAAACCACATGATATCTAACGTGATCATTTAATATACTAGATACATTAAATATATTAGATATTACATTAGATATTAGATATTATACATTAGATACATTAGATATAATAGATAATTTATTTATACGAGTTGAAAGTTGAAAAGAAAGGAATTAAGACAGTATAATTAATTAATAGTGTACTTCTATTTTAATATTTTTAAGTGTTTCAACGTATTAGTTAAACACATGATATCAGACATGATCATTTGATTCCACTTAGATATACTAGATACATTAGATATACTAGATAATACATTATAATACATTAGATATACTAGATAATATATTAGATATACTAGATAATACATTAGATATATTAGATAATACATTATTAGATAATACATTACGTTAGATAGACAAATTACATCATTCAATTTTCTTGGCCCCCCCTTAGGAAATGACGATCCATATCAGATAACTTGGTTTTATTTTTAGCCGCGCACTGTTCACTGAAACCCTACACGTTATAACCTACACGTATATACCTACACATATATACTTACATATTGTGGAAAAGATTCACGGAAAAGAAAAATAAAAATAAAAAAAAAAAAACCAATTGAACTATTTGCATGAGATAAAAGGGAATATCAGATAACTTGGTATGTTTTATATGGTACTTAGAGGGAAAATTCACGTGATAATCTTGACTAGAATTATCATCTAAATTTATGATAACGCAAATCATCAGATACGGTGTATTTGCGGAATTTGCGGAGCGCAGCCTATTTTTGGATATTTCTGCGCATTACGCAATTTTTCAGTTCAAAAATAATTTTATTATTAAATTATCTGTGCGCAAAATCACATTTATTTTCCGCAAATTTCATGAGACTTTTTCTTATGCATTACGCAATAAGTATTTGAATTTTATACACTGAATTCAGATCATTGATATATTATACCACAATTATATAAATTAACAGTTTAACACCCCAAATTAAAACACCCCAAATTTAATAGTGTCCAACCAAATTATTAATGCCCAAATTATCATTAATGCTCAAATTATTATTAATGTCCAAATTATCATTAATGTTCAAATTATTATTAATGCTCAAATTATCATTAACACCAAAATTTACCTGCTAATGCCCCAAATCACTCACCATATTAATACATTTAACGCTCAAATTATCATTAAATACCATATACCATTAACGCCCAAATTATCATTAATATGTACCATTCACGCCCAAATTATCATTGCCTAAATTATCAAATAAATTATCATCAAACGCCCAATTTAAATTATCATTACGGTAATGTCCAGATTGTCATTAATGCTCAAAATTATTATTAATGTACGCCAAAATTATCTATTAACACCCAAATTTATTTTATTAACATCCAAAATTATTTAACAACCAAAATTTTTAAATTATCAATTTTTTACAGCCAAATTCATTTTAATAATTTAATAATTTAATTCTAAATTACCCAGAATCCCAGATTATCACAATTCACAAATAGAATAAACTTTAACATTCACTACATTGTAATATGAGGCTTACTTTCTATAAAAAACATTGTAAATAATATGAAACTGTAAATATTATTCAGCCCGTTTCAGCAAGAGCGCAAGAGTAAAATGCGGAAAGTGCCGAGAAAATAAAAAAAACGAGGTCATATTACCTATCTCAGCCTTTGAGAAAGTTTGATTTTTTTCCGGTAATTCCCGCCTTTTTTTAACTCAATCGTCAATTATATTTTTTTGTACCTGTTTTCCGGATCTGGAGCATTAAAATCTGGAGCAGAACAAAATTCTATTATTCACCGTAAATAATAATTCACCGTAATAATAATAATTCACCGTAAATAATATAAATTATAATTAAGCTTTTCTTTCTGATGGAATACATGGAATACACCAATATTCTGAGAAGGTATAACGTATACCTTATACATAATATATAAATAAATTCACATTCACCAATAAATCATTGATTGGTTAAAAACATAATAAACATAACAGACACATGATATAACGAATATGACTTAACCGCTTACAGTGTATATTTTTTATGCATTTCATTAATTAATTTTTTATAAAAATCAAATTAAATCTTTTAAGATGGATTTTCATAGCAAAAGATATTAGATGATAAACAAACCTTTTAATTGGTTACTGTGGATTATTTGGCTTATTAGTAGCTTATTTTTGTGAAATCGAAATTTCGAATATTTTGATTCGTAAATTCGTAATGTGTTAAATACGGATTGATCCGATCATCAAAAAAAATAATAAAAGAATACAAACTTGGGATATCCGTTATAAAAAAAAATTCTTTGATGCGTGAATAAACGGAATGATCCGTATCTTTTTGACGAAAGGAATAATGAATATTGATTATGACAAAATAATCACAAATTCATAACACTTAAAACAAGAAATTATTTCTTGGAACCAAAATTTGACGATAATGTCAATTTTAGGGAATTCCAGAATCCGGATATCTTATAGGGAATTCGGATTCCTTCTAAAAAAAAATTTTTTTTGAATTCCGTTAACACGTGATGAACGAAAATTGATTATATCCGATAAAATGATTTAAATGATTGTAACTGTACCCGTAATTTTCCTATTAACCATTTTTCATTCAAACAATTCTAACAATTCTTTTTGTTTATTCTGTTTCATTTTGTTTATTCTTCAATTTCTTGTTTCTTTTTCTTTAATTACTATAACAATCAAACAAAAAAAAAATATTATTATGGCTTCATACCTTTCCTTTCGGGTACTTTCGAATTCCGGAATTGTTTTTTTTTTTTTTTAAAAAAAAAAAAAAAAAAAAAATNGACCAAGTATGAAAATAAAATATTTCTTTTGATTTATTAAGATCTTTCAGTTAAAATTTAATATTCCAGAATTTACATGGTTTTTATGATTGTTAAAAAGAGAAGATAATTTTCCCAGATGTTATAAGATTCATTTTTGTTATGTTATTCATATTTTTGATGTGAAACACTATCCTATCTCCCTTTCTATATGTTTGACATAAGCATGTAAATGTCGCCTTTTTAAAATGTCCTATTAGGTTCGGCTAACCCATATCTAATTACTACGATCAACAAAAAACTATGACGAATGAAAGTATCCTTAGCAATAACTTTCGTAGTAGTTTGTCCCAAGAATTTTACTTTGACAATTGAATACTAAGCCCCAGCTATCCTTATTAATCATTAGGTAAAATCTAAAAAAAAAAAAAAAAAAAAATAGGAAGAATTGAATTAATTTAGTAAATGAATGAAAAATGTATGAATGAATGAATGAATGAACAATAGGAGTTTTTTAAAGCGAGAAATCATTGGATAATAATAATATTTTCCATAAAGAAAAAAATCATACAAAGAAAAAAAATTATCTTTTTTTTTATGGATAAAATCATCCAAAATATTAATATGATTGTATAATATCAAAAAAAAAAAATTAAAAAGATATATTAAGATTAGAACTAATATAACTAATTTCGCATAATGATTGGCAATAGTATTGTCTTTCTTATCTACTATGTTTTTTTTAAAAAAAACCTTTATCGAGTATCAAAAACGATTTCGTGATTAATTTCATAAATTACGTAAATTATAAATTACGGAAATTCGGAGATTTGATTTCCATTTTCTTTATAAAAAAACGATTAACAAAGCACCAATTTATCTAAATATTACTTAGTCGGTTTTTAATATTCACACAGTAAATTGAAAAAAACTTTAAATCCATTGAAATACGCCACCAGCTCAGTTGATCACATATGAGGATTTCTGTCTTGCAATTCTCAACAGAAAACAAAATTTAAATGTAGCTAAAAACATTGTTTTTTTAAAAAAATTATTATCCTGCATATCTAATATGGGAGATTACGTAAAATTTTCATATTGAAAAATAATACATGTGACATCAATACGAAAAAGATATTCTATACGAAAAAGGGTCATATTAATTAAATAGCCAATAGCCAATAACATGTCATTGTTTGAACACCCATAAACAAATAATGGAACATAATATTCAATTTTGTGGAGTGTTACCAAATAGTTGGGAAATTACCTAGTTTCCTGGATAATTTATTTAATTTATTAAATTTATTACTTAGATTTATTATTTTACCTAGATTTATTATTTTACCTAGATTAATTATTTTACCTAGTTTATACCTAACTTTGTACCATTTTATACCTAGTTTATACTACGTTACTTTTCCTTACTTTGCTTATTTAAGTTATGCGTAATCTTAATGTAATATAGCGCTGTATTTCTGCATCATACATTTCATACATTGTAATTAATTTTTGTTATTGAACCACTAAAAAAGAAAAAAATGATTATCAGGAAATCTTTCTCATGAAAAAAAAAAAAAATTTCCATCATCCGATCATTGGGAACATGAGATCAAATAAAAAATTTATAAAGAGTTTAAATTTAGAAGATTTTTTTTTTTACTCCCTGTTACAATCAATTGTGTACGTAATAAATATAAGTTTTAGCCATTTATCCTAAATTTTAGGACATCTCCTTCCAGTAATAATTTATGATAATGTCAGCAAATGAGCTTTCAGTACTCATTACCGTAGTAGGTTATTTTCTATTGAGGATACTAAAGTTGGTTTAAATTGGGTAACTGAAAAAAAAAAAAAAAAAAAATTTTTTTTTTTTTTTTACAATAATGATACCCTTGCATATTATACATATTATTATACATATATTATTATTATATACAATTATAATTTATTACAATAAAATAAAAATTGTATTACAACTAATTTTAGCAGTTCATTCATATATTATAAAAATTAATGATTTACAATAATTATTTTTAAATTTATGATTCATATGCTTTTTGTTGATTTAACTCCGCCCACTTAGATATTATATTGTTATATAATATAATAAATAATAAATAGTTAGTATTTTTAATTTTTTTTATATTGTTATTGTAAAAAAAAAAAATATGATTATCAAAATAAATCACAATTTTTAATATAATTTAATTTAAAATATTTTTTTTAAAATATAACGCAGATCCGTTTATATAATACAATACATTGTATAAAAAAATTTTTATAAATACCTACTGAGGAATTTTCTAATTTTCTTTCAAAAAAAAAAACATTTTTTATAATAAATTTATATAATAATCTCTTAAAAAGAAATTATATTCAAAAAAACAAACCAACATTAAAAAAAAAATGGCATACTATTCAAATTGGTATAAACAAAAAGTTAATAGTAGTAGCGAAGGTGTTTTAAGCACTTCCTCTATTACATTATTAACACCAGCTCAAGTAACTGTCAGTTCAGTAAGAGATAGATTAGTTTACAACATTGAATACAAACAAAATCCTGAAGAAAATGATCGTAAACCATCTGAACGTCGTACCCGACAAAGTACCGTTTCTTCAACTACAAGTGCCTTTGCCGCGGCCAATGTTGTAGCGGGTAAATTCCAAAACCATCAAAGAAATCATACAAGAAGACATACCAGGAAAAGCAGCTCAGAATCAGATTCATCATTTGTTTCAAATTTATCCGTTTTATCTGATATCTCAGAAGATTGTATGTGGGATGATTGGATCGTAAAATTTCTTGACAAAAAAGACGTCACAGCCGACGACGCTCAAATGGAAGATTGGGTAAGCTCTCGTTATAAAGTTTTTTAAGTAATAATTCTCTTTATTCAACGAAAAAAAATCATTTGCTAATAATTAATTTCTTAATTTTTTTTAGATATTTGAAACAATGTAAAATATCCAAATATTACTTGTTAAGTTTTATCGTCAAAAGGAATCGGGCACTCGTTTTGACGAAATTACTTGACGCAACTTGTACATTTTTTTATATTTGTAAATTACTAATTTTTAGATATGGATAAAATGGGACATTTTATTTATAAATTTTCATTACACTTTTTAATATATTGGTTTTTCGTTCGTTGGATACAAACGGATCACCTTTATCATATTACCATTCCTTCTTTTTTTATAATAACGACAAACAACAAAACATCTATTTTTTTTAAAGCAAAATCACACATTTTTTTTAAAAAACATTTTCATTCTATGCATCATGAAAAAAAAATTAAGATAAATAAATTCTAAAGATAATAATAAAATCGTGAGAGCGTGAAAAATATAAACAACAACAACAAAAAATTTTATTTTAGAAAATAATTAATTACATTTTTTTTTTTTAATTTTCATTATTTCCCTCTCTGATAAAAAAAAAAATGATAAAATCTTTTACGCTATATAGTTAGAACATTTTTTTTTTTTAGAATAAAAAAAT